GGGGAGGGGGGAAGGGGGAGGGGGGAGGAGTTAGGGGAAGTGTAACACCGCCTACTTCACCTCAGACGATAAGTCTCCATCCCAGAAGACGAGAGATTGATAAAACCTAATTGTACGTGTTGAGTGAGTAACGTCGAGGTAGTTGCATGGAGCAATAATTTCAGAGTGAAAAACGGTCAATATCTGTCAGGCTAGAAGGATTATTAAAGTTGGGAGAAAATACTCGAGGTACCTTAAAAATTAATTTAATGATAACGAGTCCAGCGGCAGAAGTACCAGTTGAATAACTATCTGAATGAAATCCTCACGTATCTTAGGGAAAGCAGGAAGAAGGGGTGAAACAGCAGAGTATAACTCGATATGCGGTAGGTACAAATCGAGAAAATCGATAGACAACTTAAGGTGGGAGGTGTTGCAAGGTCACTAGAAGCTTAACCTTCATCCATGTCATCATGACTTGCCCTGCACTATGGTCCAGCTATGAGACCTGAACGAGTTAATTTGCTAACTCCGTAGGCAACTGTGACCCGGACATTTATTGACAAGATTTAGCTAATGATTTTTCAGTTCATATGTGGCCAGGCTGAGGTGAAGGTCAAGGTTTAAGTCAAACTGTCTAGGACACTAGGACATTAACAATATTTCTCACGACATCAACTACGCGACACTTTCAAGTGTTATGACAAGTCGGCGGGAAACACACGTGGAGATGGAATTGCATTTTTTCCTTCAATTAATGGTATTGGAATCACGAAACGAAGCCCACTCTCTTTCTAATTACACTCAAAGCCAGTGACAATTATGAGGGAAGTTTGAATAAAATACCTTTAGTGCTTCTTGTAAGGGAAATTTTGCCGAAATGGAAACAATGTCTCTACGCAAACACTGCCCATTTTCGGACAACGGTCTTTTGAAAGCCGATGAATTCAATTAGTCCTGATAAAGCCTGGTACATTAACTCAGTGGACACCTCGAAATTTGAGGTGAAAATGAAGGACATTAAGAAAATAAACTTTAAATCAGCGGGTCCCCCCCCCCACCCAAATTCCTAAAACCATTCAAGCACTCCAAATGGGTGCATTGTAAATCCCCTAGCAAATTACCCCATTCAGTAATTATCTGCCAGAATTTTGGTTATTGGAAAGAAAATGCATTTAACAGATGATCAACTGGCTAGAGAAAAATTGGCCATGAACTCACACATGATCCCAAAGGACAAATTCGAAAAATTAACCTTAGAATATGAGGTCACTGAGCAACGACTTGTGCCTATATATAGTTAATACCATCCGTTTGAATGCAAGAATCCAATTTTCACACCCTGGATATACTACTATCTATCCTTTGTTTTAGTATTCCAAAAATTAGTTCAACTCCAAATGCATTTATCCAACTACTAATAGCCCAAAAATGGAATGGGCTCTTTATTAAGATTGTTCCAGCCACAAAAGGAAGTAAACAAAGAAAAGTTGAATGTGAGACAGGGAATTTCATGTAGTAGCAATTTCACAAATAAGTTGCCTATTGGGGATGAAGGGGGGGCTGTCCTCAAGAATCAATTGGAAAACTTGGCAGGGTAATTGTTAAACACACCTCGCCTAACTAAGTGCGGAAGGTATTCAGACTTGTCATCCATTCTCGACAAGGCTGGAGATTTTGGAGCTTGTCAAAATTCTCCCGACCCCCCCCCCCACCCCACCCCACTCTCCTTAAAAACTCTCCTCTTCTTCAAATAACTGCCCCACCCCAAACTTTTCAGCCTTTCCTCCCACTGCCAAACACCAGCGAAAATGCACAATGAGATACAAGATAGGATTTCTAATTCCACTTTTCCTGTTAAAGTGTGGAAAAAGGAGGAAGAGGAGGAGGAGGAGAAGGTGTGGGAGGGAGAGCGAATAATCCCTGTGAATGATAAAGTAAAAAGTCACCATGTGCCCTCGTCCAAAGAGGTTTTGACGAATACGGCATTATCGCGCTGGCGACGTGAATAGAGAAAATGAGGTGAGACAAAACACCAACGACAACAACAACACCTTTGCGACAGAAAATGCTAGTCGACTCAATGTTCAGTGTTGATTTGTGTAAAAGTAAGAATGACGACATTTTGATGAAATTACAGCTAAGGAGCTAACTAATTTGAGGGAAAAGATGAGTCTCCTATTGGCTAATATGAGGTTTGTATAACCAAGAATAACGTGATGCAGCAGATAAAATAATTGAAAGGATCATACACCACAAATGCCTATAAATGCAAG